TGGCAGGAGCTGGGACAAGCGACGGGTGCTCACTCCGTCGCGTGGATTCGATCTTACGACTGCTTGGTCTTCTGACCCTGCAGCACAGGCTTCTGCGGTTTAGCCCGCAGCGCCACCACGTCCCTGCCTTCTGTGAATAATCTGCAGTTATTTTAACTGAATTTTTTTTAAAAAAAGTGCTTCCCGCAGCAATCTGTTTTTAACACTAAAACGAATTTAATTAGGTTTTAATATTTATAATACAATATTTTAACTCTCCTTGTTTGTTTTTAATTATACTGTAAGGCACCTTGAGTCCCAGTTTCCTCTCATGTCTGAGGAAATGGACTTGTCTATGAAAGCTCACATTAAAATATAGCAGTTAAGTCTTTAAGGTGCCACAACATTTTCATCTTCTTTACTTTTGATTTTGTTTTTCTTTTTGCCTGATATGCAAGCACAGACAAACACAAGTACCTCTACTAAAATTACAACTGTGGCTAGGATTTGTGCGCCGTTTATAACAGCCCTGGACTACACACTGCTGCGTTACGATATATGAAAAACTGGGAAGCCCCTATTATAATTCTCAGTTAGATGCAAAAAGTCCCATTTTAGATAATGAAAATAGAGAATGAAAGTCATAAGCTAGATAACACGAGTTGATAAATGCAGGCAAAGTAGGTCTTGCAGCACATTCTACCTGAATGGTAGAATTTCATATTACTGGGGAGGGGGAAGAATGATAAGATCCAGTGCTCCCTAAGATATAGTACTATTACAACTGTATATAGAAAGATTGCATGTCAAGATGACAACCGCATCTCCCCATCAGAAACCTGAAATGGTACTGTCCTCTTGGTTTCTCTGCACATGTAACCAGTTCCATAATATGGTGCAAGAGTACACCAGATGATACAAAATCAATCCCTTAAAATGCAAGCTACAACACCTCTGGTAGCATTACAAACGGACATCATGTTCTTTGCCTCCATTAATACATTAAGCTCCAGTACACACACTGCAGCTGAAATTAAAGAGCCACCAGAGTTCCAGAAACATCTGTTCTATCAAGCATAATCCAGCATTTTGGTGCTAAAATGATTTTGGTGGGCACGTCCAAAGCCAACAAACAGCAAGAACGGAGCTCAGGGAGCCCAAGAGGTTAAATGAGTTCCTCTCCTTCTGTTTAAAAAGTCTTCACAAACAGCAAGAGGAGCAAACTAATGGCCAGTTTCACTCCTGAACATGAGTAGGAGCTTGACAGACAGCACAACAGTTAACCTCGTGTAACACCTTTTGGTGTTGACTCATTTGTGAGTCATCATATTATTTGTGAGTCATCGTATTTTTTTTCACAGAAACATCATGTTGCGAAATTTGCTAAGAGGAAGGGAGGAGGAAGACATGCTGGAAGAAACAATATGCGTGCTCCCTGAGTTGATCCAGGAGAAACTAACAAATCATCTTCCTCCTTCCTCCAGGATAACATAGCATGCATGTTTCCATGTGCCCTTTGAGTGGTTTGACTACCACACTATGCCAGTGTGTATATCCACACATGTGCTACCAGGAACACTAAGAATGTTTTCTTATTAATGTTTGCTTCTATGACTTTATCGTCAATCCAGTTCCTAGCTGAGTCTTCAAATGGGGGTCTGGCAGGAGTGCAGGAGTGCCATCTGGAAATGGCTGCAGCATTGGGGAAGCAGAGGACAGGTCACACTGGTGGAGGGGATGCAAATACCTTCAGCAGCACCAGCAGGCATATTGGAGCAGCAGATAGTCTGTGGTGGGTGGGAACTGTGCCAAGGGCATAGGGCACAGCACAGTAGAGTGAGTGAGCACAATCCTGGAATAGCAGTTGGAAGACAGAAAGAGGCAGAAGGAAGGGGCAGCAGACTGAAGTATGCCATACCTTATACTAGGAGCAGAATGTGCCATTCTCTTACTTAAAAGGGACTTCAGGGAAGCCTAGAGATGATGGGTGGACCTTATGGTTTTTCTACAGATCCAGGTTCCAAGCATGAGCGGAGTGGACTGACAATGTTCTCTGCCTGAGAGAACAGTCTCCTAGTGGGCATATCTGCAATTTGTGATCAAGAACATGTTGGCTGAAAACTAATCTCTTTCCCTTCCAAGAATTTGTCATGAAAAGTTCTATCTCTGCCTTCCTCAGGTTAAAATCCAAATCATGTGCTTGCCATGTGAGTGAAAGAAATTTAGCAAAACACTAGCCACTGCAGGGTAGATAGTTTATTGCACCCAATTTCAAAGAAAAGCAAGAATTTAGGCCTTGAATGACTGAGATAAGTGGCCCATTTGGTACCTCCAATAAAACTGAATGGGTAACAATGTTTTTTAAGCAGTAGAGAGGAAAAGAATAGTTGAAAGCCAGTTGATTCCATCTTCCTTCCAGGCCCACAGACACTAACATGAATTCCCCAGAGCCAGACTGTGTAGTGTACATGTCTGAATATCGCAAAATTTGTGATATTTTGGCATGCAAGAAGGTTTTTCTTATAGCAGTCAATCTTGAATACAAAATAAAGTGAACTCATCCATGAACAAAGGAGGGAAAGAAGATGATCATATATATGATAGGCCGAGAGAAACCAAATGATTGCAAGTTCTGAAAATTGAGAATTTATCTCTCATCCATCTCCACCCCATGGCACATAATAAATTTGTTCATTCTGTCTATTGGGTGATGCAAGGCATTTCCTTTTTTATTTTAAGTTGCCAGGATGACATTTATCAGGAAAAAAGTTATTGAGTTTTAAAATGAATGACTAATGAAAGCAAAAGTCATGTAGCATTTCTAACCTCTTTGGTCTGTTAACAGAAAAATAATTCTTATACATATATCTTGCACCGTTTGCTTTAAGTGCAGTAATGCCCAAGCCTTTCCTTCTAATAAGATATACTGATTCAAAGGAGTATTTCACCACTTTATAGTTAGAGAAGCCACTGCACTTACCGCAGTCTTTTCCCCATCACTGCCATCTGGATAATGTGGATTAAGCTGCAAAAAGAAAATACTTTCTTAACATTTAGAGAAGACCTTTTTTAGAGATGATTTTAAAGTGAGCATGTAGGTCTGGGATCAAAAGACAATTGATGGTGTTTCACAGGGAGTGAAGGCTTTGCAGTCCTTGTTTACCACATGCTTCCAACCCACAAATATCTCTCTCCAGATGTTAGGAAGCCCTGTCCCATGAGGCTCAAATGAGTTACCAATACAAAACCAGTCAGTTCCCCATCACAACCCATGTAAGGGTACACACACAAGCATCTTTGGACTCTAGATAATGCTAGAACCAAGTATGTCCACAGTACTATTTACTGAAGGTGTGCAGATTTGTGTTTGGGAGTACGACAGAATGCCCACCGGGATTTGTAGTCCAAAAACACAAGTTTGCACACCTGTATTGTATCCAGTGTTGCCATAGGAAAACTTTATGAGAACAAAATCTGTTCTCAAATATCTAGAGCCAGTATTTTGAGCCAAATTCTAATTCATCAAACTCTCCTGCTTCCACAAGGAACACAACAGCTTTGTATATGGATATTTGTCCAGTGTTTCATAGACCATGAATTATGAAGTCATAAACAAGTTCTACTCCCTTTTCTTTGTTGGCTTCAATGCTGAGTTTCTGGGGGTGGGGGTGGGTGTTGCTCTCTTTTTTGTTTGTTTGTTTTGGGTTATTATT